GAAAGCAACAATAAAGAAAAGGGAATAAATATTGCCTTTTCTAGATACAGCTCATTGTTCTGGAAGTGACATGTCGGTCAAGGAATTAATTTGCGTAGTTGAACACTTGAACATGAAGCATGGGAGTTGCTTTTTATTATGGAGTGCAGCTCAGCCTAACTATTGGAACCTTGCACAAAATTATTAAGAGATGTTGAACACTGTTGGGCGGTCCAATTTCGATTAATAACTCAATGGCAGTTTTTTTTCTTTAATTTTTAAATTACATAATGAAAAATAATTTTATTCTATTTTTTAAATTACTTCATTTACATGTAATGCAACTTAAAATTAAAATATGTTATTTTTGACAAAAAAAATTATTATTAAATTATTTAAATTGTTGACAACTTATAGTAATTTATTTGTTTTTATATTTTTTGCTATCTCAATAGCAGTCTAAATTTTTAAAATTTTTTATTTATCTCACAATAATAGTTATTTTTATTTTATTTTTTTTATATATTAAAAATTCAAGAACAATTTATATTATTACCTTGTCACCCTTGAGAAGAAAATAAGAACGAAGAAAAGATATTGATGATTTGATTGATAATAAAAAGGGTTAAAGTGAAAATAATATTTATTTATTTTTTAAAAAATGAAAATTAAATTTAGACATATATTCAATTAAAAAACTATTGTTACTATGGCAAAGGGAGTAAAAGGAATAATTAATTTATTAATCAATAATAGAAAAACTTAAAGTTTACAAGTTAGTGCCTTCTTTTTTTTTTTTTTTAGGGAAATTATATTTCATTGATATAAGAAAAACCATAAGGATTATATGATCAAACTAAATGGAATAATACACCATAGGTATTTCACTACTAAAATATATGCATTAAAACAAAAAACCAAATATTCTAATTTTTATATGAATATTGCAACTAGATTCAAACTTAAGATTTGATAGTTAAACTGCATTCTAGTATAATCCATTTAAGCAAAAGATTATAAATTAGTTAATGGGATAAAAAAATTTAATTAGAGACCCACCTCCAACTTTAATTACCTTCACCAATTGAGACAAGCACAACAACCGATTTGAGCCCAACCAGCCTTGCCTTGATGCTGCCATCTTGTAACAAGAGCAAATTCCTATGAAAAATATCAAGAAACAAAAGGTAGAAATCTTAAAAAAGAGGGTGAAATTTATAGAAAAAGAAGGGAGAGCTTCCACCTTTGGCCTTCTACCTTAATAGTTGAGGGGAAGGAATAGGACAACTAGGGCAAAGAAGAAAACAAGAAGAAGCGAAAAGGGTTAGGGAGAAAGGTCAATGCCTCTTTATTTTATTTTATTTCTTTTTTATTTTTATTTTATTTTTATTTTGGATTGCACAATTTGGGGGAAAGGCAAAACTCAAAGCCCCTTAACTTTCTCCACTTTCTCACATAAGCTCTCAAAGAAAAAAAGTGGCATGCAAGCCCTTAAACATCTTGATCTTTAGCAAACTAGCCCTTATGTGGAGGGTAACAATCAAAGCTATCACATAATATTCCCTTGCCACATCAATATTTAGGTGTAAAGAGAATGCCACAAAAGAAAGAAACAGACAATTGTTTAACTCACATGACAAAATGTAATTGTCATCGTTAACATAAGGGCTAATTTGCTAAAATCAGGACATTCAGGGGTTTGTATGCCATGTTATTCTTTGAGGTCTTATGTGACAAATGGAAAAAGTCTTGGGTCTTAATACTAGGTTTTGCCATGAAACAACCATTTCTTATCTTAACCTATCCTACTCACATGCCTCTTTTTTATTACTCCTTTCATTCAGCAATAGTAGTCCTTATTTAACTTTTTAAGATAAAAGGTTTAAATGAAAGTTTAACATAATGACAATTGAACTTTTTATTAAGTAAAATTACTAAACAAGAGCTCCAAATAGAAAAAAAGAAAATTTTCAATTTGCATCCATTTACCATCTTAAATTTTCATACAAAGTTTTTGTCTTAAAAGTAAAATGCAAAACTATGTATACTACTGCTGAACGATATGCATAGTGACAGGTATAATTGGAAAAAAGGTAGAAAATCTGTTCCTCAAATTGTTGGGAAGTTTGAAATCCACCCTCAAACTAGAAGTATTTGCAAATCTACCCCCAACTTCTTGACTTGTAGAAATGTACCATATTTTTCACATATGATTGTCATCTTTCCGTGGATGACTTTTCTCACGTAAGCTCTCAAACTAAAAAAGTGGCATGCAAGTCCCTAAATGTCTTGATCTTAGCAAATTAGCCCTTATGTTGAGGGTAATAATCAAGGCTATCACATGATATTCTTTTGCCAATTCAGCATTTAGGGGTAAAGAGAATGCCACAAAAGAAAGAAACAGACAATTGTTTAACTCACATGACAGCATGTGATTGTCACTGTTAAATAAGAGTTAATTTGATAAAATTAGGATGTTTAGAGGTTTGTATGCCATTTTATTCTTTGAGGGCTTATGTGGCAAATGAAAAAAGTCCAAGGTCTTAATACTAGGTTTTCGCATGAGACATCCATTTCTTATTTTAACCCACCCTACTCACATACCTCTTTTTTGGTACTCCTTCCATTCAGCAATAGTAATCTTTATTTGACTTTTTAAGATATAAGGTTTAAATAAAAATTTAACATAATAATAATTAAATCTTTTTGTCAAGTTAAATCACTAAACAAGAACTCCAAATAGATAAAAAGAAAAAATTTCAATTTGTATCCATTTACTTTCTTAAATTTTTATACAAAGTACTTGCCTTAAAAGTTTAAAAGCAAAACTATGCCTACAGCTGCTGCCGAGCGATTTGAATGGTGACTAGTAGGAGAAAGTGTAGAATATCTATCCCTCAAATTATTGGGAAGTTTAAAATCCACCCTCAAACTAAAAGTATTTGCAAATCTACCCCCAACTTCTTGACTTATAGAAATGTACCATATTTTTCACTTATGGCTGTCATAGTGTCATCCTTCTGTGGATGACTTTTCTGCTAAGTCTATCCTATTCCTATAAAGTCTAATTGCATGGTAAAAAAAATAAAGTCTAATTGCTACACTGAAACAAGTTTTTGGATCTGTCTGAACCAACACTAAAATATCAGGGACTACTGCACACAGTTCACTCCAACAACGGAAAATCCATCTCTCACTCAGCCGCAGAGGAAGTGGTAAACCTTAAACTGTACCGAATTCGATTCAGTCGCCAGATTTGGATAGGAGGATAGGAGAGATGAACATCCCATATTGGGTCTGTTTAATATTTCTTATTTCCAATGTCGGTATGACGTCCGCAGAGCCTGAACTCAGCTCTGCTCGTGTTGTCTTCCAGGTTCTCGTTTTCTTTCTCCCTCCTCCATGGGCATTATCTAACATTTGATTTCCATTTTCATTGATCTTGTTTCACTGCTACTTTACATTCCAGTGCAACCCTTTTGTTTTCTCTGTTTTTGGAACTAGTTATAGGGTCAAAGCAGTTAGATTTGGGTTTGTGGTGAAATTGGTACTCTCATGACTGGATTGGTTGAAGGAATTTTCGTAATTTCTGAATTGATGAAATAATTATTGAATTAATACGATAAGTTGTTTACTAGTGCTAGGTCATGTGTTTAATTTTTATGGGGTTGTTAAATTTTTGTGAATCATTTTGCAATGCAGACAAAGTATGGAGACATTGAATTTGGATTCTACCCTAGTGTTGCACCCAAAACTGTTGATCACATTTTCAAGCTTGTTCGTCTTGGTTGCTATAACACGAATCACTTCTTCAGGGTATGCAATAAGATTTTGAAGAAACAATGACTGCTGTTATGTTGGTTGGTGAATGTGATCTTCTGATTTGTGTTATTAGAAATTTAGAACTGCAATTTTGTTTCAGGTTGACAAGGGATTTGTTGCCCAAGTTGCAGATGTTGTGGGTGGGAGATCAGCTCCCATGAATGAAGACCAAAGAAGGGAAGCTGAAAAGAAGATTGTTGGTGAATTTAGTCAAGTAAAGCATGTGAGAGGTATTCTATCTATGGGAAGGTAAATTTGCCTTAATTATTTTTTCCATTTTGTGTTTTAGTTTGTTCAATAAAGTTTTTGCAAAGAGCATTTCTGGCATGATTGTTTTAACTATTATTACAACTGCATTGAAAAGGCCAATTGCAACATATTTTCAAAATTTTAGTATGTATTACCATTTCTAGGGAAGAGCAGTGGTGCGTGGCATGGTATCCATGACTTTGCGTTTCGTTCTCTTTTCATGTTAGGGATGAAGAAAAGGAGTGCTAGCATTAGTCATCTTGCCACAAGTTTTTACATAGTTACAAGCTTCATATTTCATGTAGAACCAGGACCAATTGGAGATCTAAGTCTTACCAATATATTAGTTGTATAGTTGTATTTGTTTTTTTGTTCACTGAGCTACAACCTAACAGAGTTCTTTGATGTATTCATTCAATAAGATAAACTATTCCATGGGAAAATTAGTTACCAGCTTGCTTTTTTTCTTTTGTTTTGGCTGAAAGTTTCCAGCTTGTTTAGAATCCTGTTTAGGATTTCCATTTTGAAAGATATTTCATGAGTAATTTTCAGATGTCATCTTTGTTCTAAAATCTACTATAGGGGGCATCTGAGGCATTTCAATTCATTTTATCCTGCTATCAGATTATGTAGGCAAAGTGATGCTCATTCATTTTATTAAAATATTGGATATCCTAAATTTTCTTGTTTGATGTTTCAAAATGTTACTGAGAGTTTCCTTTTATTTCTTGTTTGGCCTCTAATTTCTTTCCATATGCTTTTGAAAAATACACTGTCATGCATGAGGGAAAAAACGTAAATTGTTTTTGGTATTACAAGTGGGGGTGAGGAAGAAGGGAAATGGGTAAATGGGATGGCAGCCTCAGAATTCGAACACTGAACATGGGGGGATACGCATCCAAGGGGGCAAGGGGCAAGGGGCAAGGGGCAAGGGGCAAGGGGCAAGGGGCAAGGGGCAAGGGGCAAGGGGCAAGGGGCAAGCTACTGTCCCCTGCCTGCTGTGTAGAAACAAACTTAATTTAAATAAAGAACTTGTAGCTTAATATTAACTAAACTTTGAGACTATAACTGAATGTAGGTGGGACACATTGTGGTCTAGAAATTTTTAACCAGATGTCTGCTTCATTTTAATCTTATCATCACTAGCTCCTAGGAAAATTCCATTGATTCTAGTAATCTGATAAACATTCTAATGTATATTTGAAGGAATGAGTCCTACCACCATTCCCAGGAACACTGTGTATTTGTGTTGGACAAGACACAAAATGGACATGCATGGACGTGAGTTCAAAAGTGTCCAATTAAAAAATATTAATTTTTTCAGGAAAACTTTGTGGACACATTTGGGAAACATTTCTTTAAATTTTATTTTTATTCTTTTTACTCTTTTTCTTTTTCCATTTATCTTTGAAATGTTTTCTTGCTTTCTAACCAAGTAATTATTAATTAAAAGCAAATTAAACAAACTGAAGAACTCCAATTAAGCAGGTAAGTAACTGAAGAGTTTGGCTTTGATTTAAATTTTAGACTTTCTTCTGCCCTAATGACAAATTTATAGGTATTTCATAATAAAGGAAATGCAATTTCATCAGAGGTGAAAAAAAAAATGTCAGACTAACAGTTTTTATGGGAACCATTTTCATGTACTCCTGTGTCCTAGATTTTTTAAGATTTGCTGTATCCCCATGTTCCCCTGTTCCACGTCCAGACTTCATAGAATATGGCAAACCAAACATTGCAAAATTACATTTTAACGTTAAAATGCCAGAAAATCGTTTCATTGCAGCATGCTAAAATTTTGTCATAGTGAATTCTAGTAGCATCTTTTAGGATGTTGGCTAACTCGGTGAACTTTCTTGGCTTGTATAAAAGTTTTATACATCAATACAAACTAATGTTTTTTATGGCATAGATTTGATGACCCTGACAGTGCACAATCTTCATTTTCTGTACTTCTTGGGGATGCTCCTCATCTAGACAGCAAGGTATGCTGATCCTATCTTGGAGCTTCATTGCAAAATTTATGTCAGAACTTATGTAGAATAGTGGTTAACATGATTGTGCCATTTGTCTCTGCAGTATGCAATTTTTGGGAAAGTTACCAAAGGTGATGAGACATTGAAGAAGCTTGAGGAACTACCAACTCACACTGAGGGGATCTTTGTAATGGTATGTCTTATACTCTTTTCATTTTATCGATTCTTGGTAGGATTTAGCCTATCCATTTGTAGGCTATGTTTTCTGTTGGGAACTGTTATTTTGCTGGTGCATCTCTTCCAACATATTGCCTATGGCATCAGCAAAGTTATCCTTGCCTAAGCCTCAAAAATGGAATCCAGCTTTCCGGATAATGGAATATCTACTAATAAAAAGGATTAACATGCAAAACCATATTTATCTTTTCTTTTGGTGGTATCAGTTCATACTTTTACAGTGAAAATCCTCAACAACTTTACCTTTTCCAATCATACCTCTTCTTGTTTTATGTTAAAATTAAAAGGGGATTAACATGCACCAAATGGAAAGGGACTCATGTTTTGCACAATTAATTTGTGAACAAGGATCCAGAGCTTGGTGTGCTCTTCCAGCAGGCTTAGCGCCTGATCTGGTGCATTGTTAACCATTTTCACGTATAATCATGTATTTCCATCACCTGATGGCTGATGGCCTGTTGCATGGATTTTTGCTACAAAATCTTTATGGTGAGTGAACGGTAGTTACTATCTTCTCACCTTTTTAATATTCATTGCAAAAGGCTGGGGGAGAATTCTACTTGTAATCTCAATGATTCTTTGCCTGCTATTAATGGTCCCTTTCAAATATCTTAAATACTGGGTTTTCTTTGCCCTAACTAGTATGCTTCATCTATAAATTTAAGATACAAGGGACACTTAATAATTAAATATTAATTTGTGGTGATCATCATCAATCCACTTACTGCTTTCTCTATCTCAAGTACAGCCACTAATATTTCTTTATTCTTTTTCCAGCCAATGGAGCGTATCACAATTCTTTCATCCTACTATTATGGTGAGAATTTAGCAGCCTGTTATGGTATTTTTTTCCAGAAGCCTCTCATTTCATATAGTGAATTCAAGAATTAAATGGGATGCACTATTTGCTAGTTATTCAAATTTCCTTGTATATATTACTTGCAATGAGATAAAGCTATGCCAGAGATTAAAATCAATTGCTATTTGCCTATAGTGGGCCAATGTAAAGTAAGTGATACAATATGGTTGTCTCTGAGGCCTATAGAGATGTGACTTACTAATGCATCATAAAAACTTTACAACCAATTAGACAAAATAAAAGAAGAAATGTCTTGCCAAAGAAAGAATACTACGAGTTGGATACTGAGTTGGACTTCTTTGTACTTCTTTTTTTATCATGTTGGAATTGTTAGGAAGGGGGGAATCAAACCTCTTTCATGAAGCTGGGGGAAATGTGCACTCTCCACTGAGTCCAAGACCCTGGCGACCTTGCTTTGTACTTTTGCACCTTGCAGCACATGGGCATAACAATCCTTTTGCTTTTTGAATGACCACTTGGCTTTTGATTGTAATTGGTCATTTTTTGTTGGGATCTTTCTTTTTGTTCCTAACTTTAGCAATTGGATACAGGCATGGTTCACACGAATATATTCTATTAGTGGAGTTTCCATAGCAGTTTGTCTTCAATACAGTTACTTTAAGGTTTAAACCATCTTGCACCATAACTGCTTGGTTCACACAAATATATGATGTTTGATGTTGGAATATTTGATTAGAAATTGTGAGCTCTATCAATTTGTGTTATACTGGCAAATTACAAACAGGGTTTTTTTTTGCATCCATTAAGGTGATGTCCTAATGGTTATATCCTGAGACATCTAGTTGGAGGTCTCAGGTTCAAAGAGTAGGGAGGGCTTTGATAAGGGGGAGTACTCTCCCTAGCTGTATCCCAATCACCAAATATCAAAAGCAGTCGGCATAGCTCATTGCTAGGGGAGCAGTAGCCAATTTTAGTTTTCACATAATATAGAGACATGAAACAAGAATAATGAATGGTATATTTACTGATTGTGAATCTTGGTGTTGTGCTCGATTTTAGATACTGAAATGGAGAGTTGCGAAACAGAGAGGTCTATCTTGAAGCGAAGGCTCACTGCATCTGCGGTTGAAATCGAAAGACAGGTGATTGACACTTTTTTGTTAGACATTTATTTGAGAATGATATTATATGATCTGCTCATGGTATACTTGGGCTAATCCTGTGTCGTTGCAGAGAATGAAATGCTTCCCATGAAATGGTGACCAAGAGTGGGGTCAACGAAGGATAAGATCCATCCTTCATGTAAGTTACATGTACCATTTAAAGCTGTTGTGTGAAGTCTTGATTTCAAGTTTGCATATATGAACTCTAGTTAAAGAAAAAGGGGAAGGAAAAGGGTGATAAACAAACGTTCTGTACATGTATGTTGCTAGTTTCTGCCCACAGAAGCTTGTGGGGAACAATCGAAGAACTTGAATAGAAGTGGGTGATCTTTTATTTGTTTTTTTCTTGGGCCGAAGTGATCTTTATTTTTCTGTCCAATTGGGCTGGGAAGTGACGGGTGGCTTCAGGAAATGATGATTGGATTGGCCTACAGATGTCTTTATCATAGCAACTCTTAGGCCCATTGAAATGCATGTCCTAGGGGCCCAAGATGTAAGGAACTAGTGAGGGCGTGAAGTTATCCTTTGCGTTGTGTCTGGAAACGCGAATTATAGGAAGTTTCGGAAAATTTCAAAGTTGTTTCAATTTAGTTCCGGATTTCCTTTTATATATTAAGTTCAAAAATAAATATAACTCTAAAGTTTGGATTTATTAGTAAACACGTGTTTATCTTATAAAACAAATTCAAGAGTTTTAGTCTTGGGGCTTGCAAACACAGGCCAATGTGGGGGTGTATTCATAAAATCTTCTGCAGAGGGGGTAGTTTTGGGGTGTTTTAAAACTAGTTCAAGGACACCTTGACTGTCCAAACGACAAAAATAAGTTCAAATATAGCCATGTTATCTCCTTTTATAGTTAAAAAAAAAAAAAATTAACATTAATCAGTTCTTGGAGGGTTGTAATTGAATCTCCACGTCAAAGAAATTAATCAAACTATGAAATTAATAATAATTAATAACTCAACAATAAGGTTGATTCTGATAGCAATATTGCTTTCGTTTTCTTAATGAAAAGCAGAGATCTTTTTTTTTTTTTCTTAAAGCAAAACAGATATATATATATATATATATATTTGGTAAATCGAGGTTAGCTTCCTATTGTCACAGGCATATGGCTATCATGCATGCTGTAGTTTAGCTTCCCCTTTCGCCAATGGGGTTATGAGTATTGTAGTTTAGTTTCCCCTTCTGCCAATATGGTTATGAGTATTGGGACTTCCTATGTACTCTATTTTTTCCAGTAATAAATTGCATTATTCATCATAAAAGAAAAGGAGACAATATTATCTCATTTTTTTTATTCATTCCATCAATATATCATATGATTTAAATTTTTTCATTAATAAATTACATTATTCATCATAAAAGAAAAAGAGACAATATTATCTCATTTTTTTATTCATCCCATCAATATATTATATGATTTAAATTTAACCATGTATTTTAACTGAAAGAAGGCAATCCTAGATCATTAAAGTCGTTGATGATCTTTTTTCTTTTTACTCTACCTAATGATGAATAATGAAACAGGAGAAGCTAGCAAGAAGAAGCGAATCGAAAACAGCAGGGGAAGAGAGTCAAAATTCAACAAGAGAAAGAAACCAGTCTTTTAATTTGAACTAGTATTTACTTTTTTGAAGACTCAGATTGACATTTTTGTTTTGTGGCCCTACAGGCTACACCCACATCCCAATAATCATCATCTCATAATGTAGCTATCATTGTGAGACAGAGACTGTCCCTCTAAACATCAAGTTTCTAATTAATTTGAACATCGTGTTTCTAATTTCAATCCACCAAAAACACAGCATGTGCTTTCTGCACCTCAACACTTGTAACTTGTTTTGACAACTCTGGATTTTCTTGCCTCCCAATTAATGCCTCCACGAAGTTGACAAAAACACAATAAAATTAGTGTATTTTATTAACTAAGTGAATGTATATAAATTGATTTAATTTATGCACTCTAATAATAAAAAATTCTTATTACATATGATGGTAAGACTATTGTTAGATAAGATTGTGTGAATATATATATTATTATTTTGATGTTGTCTTTTGGGTTTTGTTAATTTCTTGTCTATTTTGCTTTCTCCTTTGGAACGTGTGGGCCCTGCAACGAAGCCTAAGGGTTGGTTTAATTGATGGAATATGTATTCTATGGTCAAAGCAAAATTATAAATCAAATTAGTTAGTAAGAATGAGAAATTAAGAGTACATATTCCTTTCATGCAATAATTTATATTAGCAATTAGGGAATAGTTAACACCTAATAGAAGGTGTGACTAGATATTCCAACTCATTTCACACTGTTAGAAGAACTTGATGAAAGTAAGGAATATGTATTCTTAATCCCTTCTATTCTCTCACTAATTTACTCTATAAATATGCCTTGAACATGGAATTATTATGTCATCGAATTAAACTCATCATAAGAGTAATTATTCAACTTTCTTTCAAATATTATATGCCTTGAAAATGAACCCTGCTAAGATCTCCACGAACTCCATGAGAGTCATCGTCCTTCCCCCATCGTTGAGGTCACCTCGGTTTCTTTCTAGCCTTTTCTTCTCGATTGCCAATGACTTTTTCCTAGATATTGTTTGCTTTCCTCTTTCCTTCCCATAGAATCCAAAAAATTTCCATAGTTTTTTTCCCTTTTCTTCTAGTCTTGTTCTTAGTTTTTCGCTTTCATCTCCTCAAATCGAAAATACTACATTATAGTTCACAGCATTTCCTCTCACTACAGAAAATTTGCAATAAACTTAAGCTTTTTTCACCTACATTCAAAATTTTATGGGTATAAGTCCTTATTAGCTACGGTTTACAATTTGTGGTTATGTATGTGGTTTACAATTTGTGGTTATGTATGTAAAGGTGTATTTATGCACATGAAAAATTTGTAGCAAAAAGAGAACTACAACTACACAAATTTTCTTGGCATAGGTACACAAAAGAGCTATGCCTTCTGTTATATTCAATTATAGGTATAATACTAACCTATACCCATGACTTTTCAAAAACTGTACCTAGCTATTGTTCTAAAATCCCAAAAATATTTCCGAAATTCTATCAATCTCACTAATTTAATTCCCCTTTCGATTTGATTACAACTCAATCTAGTTTGGTTATTGGTTGGGATGATGATGACAGGAAGTGGAGAACTCGTTTACGGTTGCTGGGATGGTGACTGCTGAATCTCTTGTCAACAAGGGGAAAGTGTATGGTGTCTTGGTAAAGACATGGACTAATTGTCGAAATTTCTAAGTAAATGAAGTGGATAGTAATCTATATATACTATTTCTTTCTCTAATAAGGCCGACATGAACTATCTTAGAAAACTTACCCAGGTCCATTGATTTCCATTTTTTACTTTTTTATTTTTTAATTTAACATGAAGAGATGGGAGATTGGACATTCCCTTACGGAAATAGATTTTTTCCTAGCTTCTTATTGGGTTCAGATTCATGGTCGTAGGATAGATTAGATTACCTTTGAGAAGGCTGTTACCATAGAAAGCAATCTTGGCATCTTAGTGAAGGCCAAGAATCCTAGATATAAGAACATACTACTTAGGGGTTTCTTGGGGTGCAGAATTCATATTGACGTTCTGAAACGCTTTATAGCTGGCTTTTGATTTCTCTCTGATAAGTATCAAGATAGGTGGATTAACCTCAAGCATGAAAAGTTGTCAGGCTTTTTTTTATAAATGTCGTAGATTAGGCCATGTTGGTGGAGAGGAAAAAATTATGCCGGTTTTGGATCCTAGAAAGCCTATGTATGATGAATCATTGATGTCCCCTCAACTTAAAGACCTGGAACGTAAGGGTAGAAGGGTCTAGAATACTTTTAGAAACACTACTAGAAATCTTTGTCTGTCTATTTCTCTGAAGGCTACTCAAAAGGTTAGGTGTAAGTTGTTCTTAAATCAAGAGAGTTATTATACCACTCTAGTTAGAGCGAAACATGGCATCAATTGAGATCAATTCTTTGTGAGAAAGAAATTTGGTGCCTGTCTCTTGTTATACTATAGTGGGAGGACAAGAATAAGCTATCTACTCTTTAGAATTACCTATAGATGAGGAGGCATTTAAAAAGCTGACACTCCCACAAGTAATCCTTCTATCTTATCTAATAGTTCTACTTTTGATTAAGTCTTTCACAAGCTTAACGCAAAAAGGAGTAGATCAGATAGATCTCGTACCTTTACCCTAAAAAAACTTAAGGCTAGCCATTTGCTAAGAGAAAGTCATAAATTGGCCTTACCTAGTCCAAGGAAGATAATGCAAGAATCCTAGTCCTAAAAAAGGGTCTACAAGACGAAGAAAGGACTGTGTAAAAAGGAGGAAGATGCCACCATGGTTAATGGAGAAGGTTGTATTGTGGATGTGCGTATAGCTACAAATGGTTATTTCCTTTTTGGAGGTGGGAGAATTTCTACTTATGGGTTTAGTGTTTTACACTTTTAGAATTGAGTTTTGTAGTGATTTTGGTGCACTACACTGTATAAATTGACTTGTAATCCTCACAATTTTATATTTATCTAATGAATGAATACTAAAGAAAATCTTCTCATCTACCCATTATTATTTTTCTTTGTGGTGAAATTGTTGGAATTTGATAAGTTATAACGTGTGCAATAAAAGTAAACGTTGAAGTTAGATCAAATATGTTCATTGTACCGAAAATGAGGTCCCTCCTTGCAATGGAATTTAATGCCAATAAGAGGAGGAATATAAACATGAAGCCATTGTTACACTGTAGACCAAAAGCAAATCTATGGGCACAAATAATTCAGTATAGGAAACAACAACACACAAAAGTGGATGTTCTGATTTGGATAACTCGATACAAGCAACGTATACAATTCAAAGATGATCCAATTTACCATTGAAGGATATCAGCGAGGGAACAACTGTGATAACCCATTGCATAAGCAGATGCCAATACCCTTGAGAAGGTGTCAATACCGAGTGCTTTTATGAAAATCCCACATCATCCAGGCACCTGAGGGATCTTGGGTTTTTAAGGCTAAATTTAATAAATAGTTAATTAACTATGTGATTTATTTTAATTTAGTCTAGAAATAATTTTTTCTTTCACAATGATCTATAAACTATCAATTTTGTTTCAAAATGGTCTATGTGATACACATTCCATTAATTGACTAACGAAATTCTTTCAACGATTGACAAGCTGCCCCTTAAATTTTGAAAAATATTAAATATAGTACATATATTTTTATTTTTATAACATTTTGTTTTTTAAATTCAAATTTTTTTGTCAAATATAATAATTAACCAAGATGAAATTTCAATTTACATTCATTCATATTCTAATTTTACTTTACAATAATCAATATTATAATTTAAAATTTAAAATTTCTAAAAAAATTTAATTTATTATTAAATGTTAATATTTTTAATAAATAAACCCTTTCAAAATTTAATTTAATTAAATGAGCACCCACATATAATTAAAATTATCTAAAAAAAATAAAAATTCATTTTAATTTTATAAATCCCAAAATTAAAATCATGCACGTATTATTAGTGTTAACAATAAAATTAAAATTTTTTGTTTTTTATACAAAGTAGTGAAAAAATATGTAATTTAATAATGATATTAAGTTTTTTAAAAAATAATAAAATTTAAATTATAATATTGTTTGTAGTAAATTAAAATTAGAATCTTGATCAATGTAAATTAAAATTATTATCTTAATTAATTATTATATTTAACATAGAATTTAAACTTCAAAAACAAAATATTGAAAAAAAATGTATATACTAAATTTAACATTTTTCAAAAGTTTAGGAGCAGCTTATTAACAGTTAGAAAGAATTCCGTTAGTCAGTTAACGAAATGTTTTTGTTAAGTAGGCCATTTTAAAAAAAAAATTAATAGTTTATAGATCATTTTGAAAAAAAAATTGTTTCTATACTAGATTGAAATAAATCACATAGTTAATAAACAATTTATTGCATTTAGCCGGGTTTATAATTGCAAACCCACCATCACCCTTGTGTGTTTTTTTTAAAAGAAAATATCTAGTATATTTTTGGTTTAATACACTTTTTGACACTTATTTTAGTTTAATTATTAAAATATAAATATAAATAGAACTCATTTAACTAGTATTTAACCAAAATGTGTACCAATACATGCTTTTTTTAAAATTGTGAGGTCTTGGCACTTTGACATGGGATGTTACAACTTAAAACCTTTAGTTCCAAAGGCAATTCCACAATATATTTTCGTCGGAAAATGATGTGTGCACACCCGGATCCAACACCCGGGTGTGCATATATCATATAAAAAAAAAATTGCCCATCACCCGATCCATCCTTTTTTTTTTTATATGGGGGGTGCACACCCGGGTGTTGGATCCGGGTGTGCACCAATCATTGTCCATTTTCGCCATGTTTCTGCCAAAGGACAACGAGGCACTAAACATCGCCTCAAGGAATATTCTTATTCCTAGGGAGAACAAGAAAGGAAGCATAGAAGAATCCCAAGAAACTTATGAAGATTCTTGTCTTGATGACAGTGGAGGAAAATCCATCCGAATTTTCTTAATCATCTCCTTAATGGAGACCCTTTAATTTTAACCCAACTTTGACTGGGCATCATATTTATTTATTTAGGCTCTATGTAATAAGGTTTTATTTTTTTTATTTATATATATATTAATACTACATTTAAATTAAATTAAATTAAATTAATTGTAATTTTTATAAAAAAATTTGATTTCTAAATATAATAGTACTTACAAATATA